TGGACGAACTTTTAGAAAGACTTAAAGGGAAACTACGAAAGGGCTGAGACTCTAGCGAAATGCGGTGGCCAACGGAGCCTGATAGGCGCTCAGCCTTTCTTTGGTCCATCAGAGGACAGCAGAGCTCCTAAAAGGATAGGAGGTCTTGCAAGTTACAAGCCAATGATGCACGACAAAGGGCAAAAGGCAGTCGAAAAGATTCATAGCTCCCTTTCGTGAAATCTTTGAGCGACTGCTAAATCTTAGCAGAGAGGGTTTAAGGACTCTCACCGAATGCCTGACAGGACACTGCAGACTGAGGTACCAACTGCTCAAAATGGCACGCTCTGAGGAAAAGAACAGCAGGATTCGGCTTCCATGACAATCTTCTTTCAAAGTTGATTCATTTACGAAGAGGAATGAACACTTAATGGCCCCATAATGATCCCGAAATAGTCCTAAACTAGCCGTAAACTGATCCCGAACTAGCCTCGAAATGTTTCTGAAATCGTCGTGAACTCTCCCGAAATTATCCTTAACCCGAAAAGGACCTGTAGTCCGTGCTGTTATACTCCATATGTCTGAGGCTATAAGCGGGAACATCTTGGTGGAAAGGACGATGAAGTTAGAAGAAAAATTGCATAGCGTCAGGACCCATCGATGACGCAGGTATAAGCCAAGAGAACCGATAATATTGGTGAAACTCAAAACATGGAAGGCAAGCTAAAACCATCATTTCATAAGTAACATCTGCAGAGCCACAACGCCCCTCAACCTCGGTAGACATAAACCTAGGATATTAACAGCCTTTCCTGCTAGGCATTGCAGAATACCGAAGCGCTTATCAAACTTGGGTGTCACGCTCTTTCATAGGATCATTTTAACTGTGTGCAGGTGACATTAATACCACATCAACAAGGTACTTTCCGAGGCTATTCAATAATACCTGGATCAGGTTGCTACTAAACCCAACTTCGGTCTTGTCGAGCCTAAAATTAACTGGTTTAACAACGGTATTTAATAGCTAACAGCTCGGATGCTAGGGTTATTTCACGAAGAAAGCCTTAAAAATAAATTAAACTGTGAGTATAGATAAAAAAAAAACAATATCCACTACAGCAAATATTAGTAAAAGGAAAGAAATGGTAAACTTAAAGCCTACACCCATGACTTCCCCGCAATATTTTTGGTGGCTGAGCAAATGATTTCAGCTAAGCTTAACATACATACCTTTGATCATTTGTGAAGTTGATATTCTCATTTCCCATGCCGGTTGGCATGCCCATCCAGGAGTAACGTTGGCTTGGACCCATACCCATGCTGACGCGTGGTCCAGGGCCAACACCGATGCCGCTACTGCCGCCGGCAATACTTCCGCCGCCAACACCGCCACCGACACCACCACCACCACTAACAGTGTCTTGCGTCTTCGCAGTGCTCAATATTGAAGCTGGTTGTCGTCTAAAATAGGAACTATCCTTATCGGAGTCAGGTGATTTGTCGTCGTTATTCTGAAAGTGTCTTTGATAGCTGCAAAAAACAAAGTTGATTACATAAAGTAAATGTTTTTCCCAACCACATAAGTACTAAGCGCATAAAATTTCACTTGCCGCGGATACTTGTAGAAGGGAGCGTACGCAGCTAAATTTTCATCTGATGGCACCCTTCGCCCAACACAGCCACCCAGAAAGGATTGCGGCACACCGCTACGTCGCGAGAGACAGCCAAAGAAGCGATCACGACGCGGCCTCTCGATGCTATGCAGCTGACGATCGGTTAGGCAGTACTGTACTTAAGGGACAAAAAGAAAAGAAAGAAATACGACCAAGCATAAGAAAAAATGTGGCGGTGCAGGTGATCAGAAAAAAAAGTCAGGAACAAAATAAAAACAGTGCAAAAACAAGAACCGCAGGGCAAAAAGTACAACAGTCGTAGAGCATTCACCTGTTCGCGTATATCGCCTTTCGAGTAAACGGATGAAGGTGGATACAGTTCTGTGGAGGAGGTGTGTCGTAAGCGGCGTCGACTCATATTCTCATCTTCGGAATCGTAACTGCGATCGTAATGGCTAGAAGCTGCTGCTGACTGCAATGAAGCGAAAAGTGCAATGCAATAATTAATGGATTTCATAAGCGTACCGTCAGCTTGACGGCAGTGAGCGAGTTTAGTGCGATGTAATCAGCCTGCCGGATGGCTTGCTTACCTTACACGCCATTTCGATGGTGCCTAGCGAAACTGCATGATGTAAACCTGAAAATGGGAAGGAAAAAGAGGCTGTAGACAGTTGTTGTAGAGCTCTAGCACGCCTGTGAGTTATATATGTACTATTTATGTAGGTTTACCTTACGATTATATATG